CTTTTCACAGCTGACCGCAACCTGTGGAACCTGAAGCCGTTCACCACACGGGACTTCTCCATCCGGTCACTGGCAGACCGGCTGGGGGACCTGAGCTATCTCATCTACGTATTTCCCGACCGACCCAAGGATGAGGTCTTCTCCAAGTACTACACCCCTGTGCTCGGTGCGTCCTGCCCTGATACTCCTGGGCCCTTCCGCAGCCTGTGGACAAATCTCTTGGGGCGAGGCAGCTGGGACTCCCCAGGAAGAACCCAGGGGCCATTTCCCCCGTGGGCTTGGTCGGTGGCTTGGTGTGGAGCACGGGGAGGGGATTTCAGGTCTCGCAGCAGAGAGGGAAAACAAACCCTCTGACCCAGCTTTCTTCCCTGCAAAGTGAAAAGCTGGGTGGATTCTCACTTCTGTGCCCTTGGAGGAAGTCAGGAGGCAGTGCTGGCCAGGATAATCATACCCACACATAATGCACTACTCCCATCTTAATCAGCTGCTCTCACGGCTCCCACCCTCAAACCTGCCCCCAAGTTGAATGTGGGAAGCAAAATGGACAGGTTTTTCCTCTTCAACTTGTCCCTAGTCCACTGTTGGGTTTGCTGCTTGGAATTGGTTCTGCTTCCTTGGCAGAGTGGGGTGAGGAGAGGGAGAGCAAAGGGCCAGAAACGGAAGCAGGAGAAAGGATGAGATCGGAGCCAGGGGCCTGGGTGGCCCTCGAGGGGTCCATCGGCAGGTGTTTATAGGAATCTGTGGGAAATCTCATCCCCGCTGAGGCCCCACAGTGATGTGGGTAGGAGGCAGACTGCATGCCATGGGCTTCCACTGCCTGGGAGCTCCCAGAGGCGGGTTCTTATCACGCTCCCCCCTCGGCAGCTAAAGCGGTGGATGGATACGTGAAGCCACAGATCAAGCAAGTGGTCCCTGAGTAAGTACCCAGGGTCCAGCTCTGGTCTCCTGCTGCCTCCTTTCTCTTCCCTCGGTCCCCCTCACCCCTCACCGCTGCTCCTCCCACTCATAGACCCTGCGTGGCCCAGCCCGCCCTTCCGCCCTGAAGCCTGGCTCAGCCCTGGAGAGGGAACTGGGCTTAGTCTCAATGGGACCAGGACCCAGGGCCCCACTCCTGCAGCTGGAGTCCCAGGCCCATTGGGCACTTTGTCCTTCCATACCTCAAAAAAGGTGTAAAAATGCCCCCCCCCCCCCAAGTCACCTGCTGCCCGGAGGCCACTGAGGCTCTGCTGTGTTTCTCCTGCAGGTTTGTGAGTGCGTCTGCAGACTCTGCCGGGGCCAGCGCCACCTACATGGACCAGGCCCCCTCCCCAGCCGTGTGCCCCCAGGCTCATTATAACATGTACCCCCAGAAGTAGGTTGTGTTCTCATGGGGCTCCGTGGGGAGGAAGTGGGCACCTGGCCTCAGGCTGGGCCCCGGGAGGGCTGGTGGGCAAAGGGACCCAGAGCTCCTGTAGGTCTGAGACCACCCAGGCCGGGCTCCGGCATGTGCCCAGGTACAGCGAGGGAGATCAGCCAGTGAGAAGCATAGAACATAAGCTACATATAGGAGGGTCCTTGCTCTGGTGCTGACTGGCTGTGTGACCTTGGGAAAATTATTGAGCCTCCCAGATGTTCAGTTTCCACATCTGTAAAATGGAGGCAAAAATACCTACCATATGGGATTGGGGGCAGGACTCAGGTGAGGCTGTGGTAAGGGATAGCTCCAGATGGGGCGGTTGCTCTTAGGAGTTGGAGGGAAACGGGCTATCACTTGCTCCTCTCTGGAGTTCCCAGGGCAGAGAATTAATTCTCTCCTGAGCTGTGGGTGGCCCCAGCTGGATGTCTGGGTGTCTGGCAGACACAAGCTGCACTGGGATGGCCATGGGCTTGAGAGTCACCAAGACTGGAATTCCAATCCTGAATCCATTTGCCAGCCAGGTGCCCCTGAGCAGGTTTCCGAACACGGCCGAGCCTCAGTCTCCCCCAGTGTAAAGTGGAGCAGATACCTACCTCACAGGTGGCTAAGCCCAGCGCGTTGTAGGTGCTCAGCAAATGGAGCCCATGGTTGAGTGGAATAGTGTCGCAGTGGGCAGAACTCACTGACCCAACCATGTTTTGCAGAGGAGGAGAGGGACGGGGACAAGGGAGAAGAACTCTCTGAGCCCACTCAGTACGGCAATGAGCGTTGAGACTAGAACTTGAGTAGCTCCCAATGAACCAGTGACTGACGTTTTCAGCTTGGGGTTCGCGGGGGCGGCCAGCCAGAGCCAGTCCTGTTCCCGTGAGACTGTGGTCTGAGTGGGGAGGGGGCCAGCGGCATGCTCAGCTCCCTCTGACCTCCTCTCCCTCTCTCCCAGCCCTGACCCCGTCCTCGACCAGGATGGAGAATTTGACCTGGATGAGACCATGGACGTCGCCCGGCACGTGGAGGAACTCTTACGCCGCCCGATGGACAGTCTGGACCCCCGCCTCTCCCCGCCTGCCGGCCTTTTCACCGCTGCCCGAGGCTCGCTCTCATGAATGTTCGGATGGCACGCTTCTCTTTGGAAACAACACTCAGTGTGAAGGGGTCGTGTTAATGGTGATTTTAGTGTTGCTGTGCATACAGATGCCTCGGCCGCGTGTGTGTGTGTGTGTGTGTGTGTGCCTGCCTCGCCTGCGCCCAGCAGCCACCAGCTTGCTCCCCAGATCAAGGCGCCCGAGGGCCCGCCGGGCCTGTGTCTGTCGCGGGAGGGGCTCCGCTTCCGCCGGCTGCTGTCACAGGTGCTGTTCCTGCCCGGGCCTGTCCGGCCTCGCCGCTGTTTGAAGGAAATTATTCAAGAAGGGGCTTGGAGACGGGTCAGGTGTCCCAGCGTCAGTTGTACTCCTGAGTGAGAAGCTTTGGCTCCCAAATGTGTGCATATGCGTTTATGTTTGTGCATCTGTTGCCATGCACGTGTGTTGGTCTATTGATTCTTTCCCTCGGGAGGGAGGCTGGGATTCAGTTTTGAGTCATGTTTTATACTTTATCTAATGACTATGGACTCGAGATTGTTTGTGACCCGAGGGCTTCTCTAGACCGTGGCCCTAACGCAGCAGGAACGGGTCTTTGCGGTTGGGTCTGTCAGAGCTGCTCTGAGTACGTAGTTGCTTGGCCTCCCGGCCTCCTGGCCTCCAGCCGGGGGACGTGGGCTTCATGTCTGTGGTGCCGTTACCCGGTCTGCTATCATTTTCCAAGTGTGATCGCCTCCCCTCCATCGGGCCCCAGCCTTCTTTCCCTGACGCTCTGCAACCCTGCTCCCAGGAGAGGGGGGGAGACGGGCAGGAACTGGGCTAGGACGTGGTGGGTGAACAGAGGGCCGGGGACTTGGGGGCTGATCTCCCTCTCCTGGAGAACTGCACTGAGACGGCCGCAGAGAAGCTGTTTGTGGCATGCCTGTGGAATCCCGAGTGAGGGGTAAAAGCTCAGCTCGCTCCCCCCTGCTGGCAGGTGGACCTGGACTAGGCCTCATCACAGTTGCGTAACGCCGAGGTCCGAGAAGGCCTTGCTCCCGGCCTCACATGCTCCTCCCTTGGAGGCTCTGTGACATGCAGCCGGGGGCAGCTGGTGGCAGAGGGTCGGGAGTCCCAGGTTTAAACATCCCTGAGGGAAGGTGGGGACCAGAAGAGGGATCCTTGTGTACTTTGTACATAGGCCACACATTTGTGTAAACAGTGTTTTCGAATAAAGTATTTTTTTCATAAATTTGCTGTCACGGCTCCCGCGGACAGCCCTGGGTAACGGGGATCCCTGGTGCTGGGGTGGTTTTGTTGCTTCCCTCCCGTGTGGCTGGTGCTGTAATGCTTCCAAAGCTACCACTCTGCACCCTCTTCCCTGTGTTAAGGGTGCCCACCAGCCCTGCAACGCTGTCTCTGCTTCTCAGAAGCCAAAACGACTAGGGCTGGAGGCCTTGGGGGAAGGGGGTGGGGGCCAGGAGCGGGAAGAACGGCAGCGGGGGGGGGGGGGGGGTCTGGGCCTCTCCTAATCAGCTGCTGCTATAAGCAATCTTGAAGCCTTTGATGCGGGGGTGGGGGGGGTGGAGGGGCAGTGCCAGGGGCAGCAGGGAGCCTCAGCGACAGTCCCTCCTTGCCCGCCTCTTCCCGGACACCAGCAGGTGGCACCATCCCACTGCCACCGGCCCATTCAAAGGGCCAGCCGGCCCAGTGACCGGTAGGGAAGCTGGGGGAGGAGGATGGTCTCCCCATTTGGACCCCCTGGCGCCGACCTGCTGCCAGTCCAGGGGCTGTCACTGGGGCCCTGGTGGGGTGGGGGGGGGTGTTGGGGAACGGTTGGGGAGCCAGGACCTACCCATGAGGTTTCTTCAGAGCTCAAAGCAAGGGAAGAGGGGTTTGCAGCCTGCCCCAAGGAGGCGCAGGGGCCCTGCGCGGGGCTGGCGGGGGTGGGCTGGCGGGGAGAGCAGCCGCTAATCTCCCCTTGCATCTTGGCAGGGCTGGCGGCTGGTATCTCAGCCCGCGGCGCGGTCTCCATGGCGCTCGGCACGGGGGTGGGGGGGAGCCAGCCGAGTGGGCGCATTGATGTCTGTGAATTATCACCACCGGTCGGGCAGCCAGTGAAGTGTTTCCGTTCATCCCCGCTGAGTGAACTGAAGAGAAAGCGATAATGGAGCAACTGTGGGAGGGGAGGCCTTAGGGTGGGGTGGGAGTATCTTCACCCCAAGCCCCCTTAGGTAGCGCTTATCTGACCCCAGACAGGTTCGTGGGGCTTGCAAAGGCCCGAGGAGGGGGGAAGGAAGAGGGAGAAGGGGGGCCTCCACGGACACCTCTGGCTCCTCCGGTTACCCCTTCCCTGGAGGCCACTGGCTAACATAAGATGGGGGGGTGCTCGGGGCCCCAGAAGTGGGCTGCGGGGACCAGCCCGGGAGCAGGGGCCCCCGCCTCCTGTCAGGATCCAGGCTCGGCCTGTGGGTAAGGCCCCCTCAGACCTGAAGGGGGGAGGGGCAGGGGGACCTCCAGCAGCCAGAGACAGAGCTGCCACGCCCTCAGACGGTTCCTATATAACTTTTATTTCTGGAAGTTAAAGTAGATACAGCAATATACAAAAACAAAACCGAAAACCAAAACCCCACAATAATATAAATTTTTACACTATGAAGTATACATTGGAATTTGATGCGGTGACCAGGACAGCAGCATACAAACCGCTGTGCAGGTAGGTCGAGCCATCTATGGGAACCCCTCAGCTGGGCTGGGGACGGGCAGGGGGAGACAGTGGAGAGAAAGCGGGCAGGTCCCGGAGGGCTCGGCTCTTGAAGGCAGGGGCTAGAACAAGTCTCGGCTCCTCTCAGAACTTCCGCTACAATCAGAGTTAAAACCAGATACACGTGCTACCTCGAAGTCACCAGCTTTTCAGTGTCTGCGCCCTAGAAGCCTGGATCCTTGCCCCAGGTGCCTCTGATCTAAATCTTCTCTCAGTTTCTGAGTTAAGCTTATTATGAAGTGAAGAGTGTTGCTAGAGGAGGGCGAGCTCTGTACTACCTGCCAACCAGTTCTAGGGAAGGACAGGGATGGCCAAGCGCAACCCCTGTCCGTCTTGGAGAGAATGTCTTCATCCCCTTAATTCTGAACCTGGTGAGTACGGGTAAAACAAACAGCACACCACAGAAACTCTGACCAACTGAGATCAGGTGGTCCTGGACCACCCGATCTAGTCAGGCCTCTGGGTCAGACGAGGCCCAAATACTGGAGACCACGAAGCGTTCTGAGACGCACAGTAAATGGGAGTTGTTCTGCCTCATGGGTGAGGCCCCCATGGGGAGGAGATAGTCACCAGCACGGGGGGTGGGGGAGGAGGCCAGGGTGTACACTCCCTCACACAAGGGATAGACCTCGAGTTTATCAGTAAGCCTTTTGCCCCCGGCTTAACCAAGTGAAGAAGTGATTAGAGGTGCCGCGGGAAATCACCAAGAAACCGGGATAAGAACCGTATTCCCTGAGCTCAACTAGACCCTTGGCTGGGGCCCCAACAGTCTGTTGTGTTCCACCTGTAACTCTCGCCTTCTTATTCCAGGATTCTCAAAGCAAACAGGACAAGGGACCTTTAGACACTGAAAGGAGCCCTACACAAGGGGGGGTCAGGTGGACAGGGAGGAAAGATCACCCCATCCCTTATAAGGCACCCACAGGAACAACCCAGGCTCTGGAACAGGAGAAGTCCAGGGAGACGGGGAGGGGGGGGAGAGGGGGGACAGGTGGTAAGCACTCCTCTGCCCAGCCTTACCTACTAATAGGCCAACACATTAAAGGGGAAAATAAAAACTTTGTTTATTAAAAAATGTCTAGGATGTTTAGGTTGTCCTTCAACCTTCCTATTTCATAACCAAAGGCCAAGCCACAGCTTCAGATGTCTTTTAAGGGTTGGATCTGAAGCCCATTTTAGGATTTCTATAAATTATCAGCCTGAAGAAAGCTGAATGCTTAAAGCACCAAGAAGGCTACTGACTGAGTTGTCTTAAATACAGAAAAGGTTATGCCAATACAGTGTTTTTTGCCCTTTAATTTTTTTTTAAATTTAAAAAGAAACTTAGGGGCTGTGAAAGTCCTATCTTCTATTTGGTTGTTAGCAGGGTTAAAAGTGCAATGCCAGGAGGAATGTAGCTAGAGGCAGCCTGTGGTGTGAGCTTACAGAGATAGGCAGAGGGATGCGCGGGCACCAGGAGGCACTTGTCTAAGGACAACACGAGCTGCTGAGAAAGGAGGGCCGGGGAGCCAGAAAAGACCAGAACATTTCCTTTTTCTCCCTCTTGCCACCCCTTCCACATCCCCCGGTCACAGTGTCAGAGAACACATTCTTATTTGCATTTAGGTAAAAGCGTTATCACCCACGTTCACGCATTTCTCTATTTTTAAAAGTGCCCAGATTGCTCAAAGATAGCAGAAGTAGGAGATTAAAAAAAAATCTGGAAGCACAAAGTGAGAGGAGTCTCAGACGATCTGGGGGTTGGCTGTGTGAGGGGTGGTAGAACACAGGTAGGTGCCTCTGTCCTCGCTCTCTGCAGCCTCAGCCCGCCGCTCCTCACATCGGGGAGGTAGCGCACTCCGAGGTCAACTCCATGTCGAACGTGAGGGACTCTGGGGGGACAGAGCGGGAGAGCTCGTTCAGTTGCCTGAGCCCGCGAGCCGGCAGGGCATGCTCCCGCAGCCCTTCGGGGGACAGAGGCCCAGCCAGCACTGCCATCCAGGGTCCTTGCCCCGCGTGGCCAAGACAGGGTCGGATACTCCAGATTTACTCTCCTCCCTAGAGGGTCTGGTCTTCTGGAAGGGCTCAGTCCCCTTCCTCCCTTAACTCGTTCCCAACTGTCCGCGTGGAAAGATCGAAGGCTGTCCTGCAGGATGGGGCAGCCCGGAGCCACCGGGTGGCTACTGAGCATCACAGTGTGGCCAGTCCCACTCAAGATGGGCTGGAGCCGTACAACACCCAGCAGGTTTCAGAGACTTAGTACAAAAAAAAAACCCTCGATAACTTTCTCTTATGTGCTAAAATGCTAGTACTGGGGATTTACTGGGTTACAGAAAAGATACTATTAACGTTAACCTCACTTGTTTCTTATTGCTGTTTTTCACGTGGCTACTAGAAAATCTGCACTTACAGGCGTGGTGCACATTTGGTTTCTAAGGGAGAGCACTGCCCTAGAACTTTCTACCAATCGCGCGGTGAGGGGGGCAGCTCTTGGCTCGGTGCATGGCACACGAAGGGGGCTGACTTCCCTCCTAAGGACAGGGTCTGTCACCAAACACTCACCGAACTGCCCTCCTGCTGAGGGCTCAGCACCTTCACCATTATTTCCAAACTGCATCAATGAATCTAAAGTGCGGGGGGACATCGGCAGGTCAATGGTATTGCTGCACGTCGTTCTGTAGGAAATGGGGAGCAGCAGGAGGGGAAAGGGCCGGGTTGACAAGACACAATGGAGAAAAAAAAAAAAAAGAACAAAACACACACACACAAGCCATCAAACTCTGGTCTCCAACAGAAAAATAAAAGCTCAAGCTTTTTAAACACACAAGGTCACTTTGAGTACTACGCAGAGCCCAGGACGTTCCGGCCCTTCACAGGATAGCTCTCACCCAGCGTCCTACTCCCAGGAGAACTGAGGACACCAGAAATGAAGGCCAAATTGAGAAGGGAAGCCACTTACGGTGTCACACAGATGAACTTGGTCTTCAGGTATGGGGCAGCACCTGGGAAGAAGAAAGCTGGGGCTTACTAACTGCGACCCCACTGTGGGCCAAGGGCAGCAGGAAGCCGGCTGTCTCATCGGCACGGACGTGCACCCCACTCCATCCTGCAGCGGAGGCCGTTTGGAAGCCCCACCTCCCCTCGGGGCTGCCCTCCCACCACTGTGTCCTGCTGGGTGTGCGAGGCACCTGCAGCCCGGTGGTTCAACCCTTTCCATAGAGCTGTCCTGACCTGCAGAGACTTTTAAGCACACCCTGGCCCCACCCGAGCCTAGACCAATGCCAGCCTGTTTGTTCTTTCCCTAGATGATGTGAACACTGAGCTGCCTGCATGGGGTCTGAGGATTGTATTCTGGCCTGGCCGCATCTCTTCGCTACAACTTCTCCGCACGCAGGAACGGAGCCGACGCAGTCTGGCCTCGGACACACGCGGTCCTGCTCAGATGCCAAAGTCACCACGTCTCTAAGAGAATGTGGAAATTGCTCATGCTGTTGCGAGGCCCAGAGTCATACTTTTCATTCCTACGGGCATTCATCTGCCTCTACTACTTTTTAGGTGAGCCGTATTAGTAACTCCCCAGTTGGGGAGCAACATCATACAAAGAGCAGCCTCTCTGTCAAGGGAGGCTGCCTGGTGTGGCAATACCACTGACTCCGGACTGAAGACAGGAGGCCTGGGGCTTGTCATGTCTTCCACAGCTAAGACACCCGGAGCAAAGCACTTTCTACACTAAGAGGGAGGGGGAAGAGGGAAGTGCCCATCTGGGTCATTTATAATTCTTTTTTTTGTTTTTTTAAAGATTTTATTTATTTATTTGACACAGAGAGACACAGCGAGAGAGGGAACACAAGCAGGGGGAGTGGGAGAGGGAGAAGCAGGCTTCCCGCCGAGCAGGGAGCCCGATGTGGGGCTCGATCCCAGGACCCTGAGATCATGACCTGAGCAGAAGGCAGTCGCTTAACCGACTGAGCCACCCAGGCGCCCCTCATTTATAATTCTTGTTCCATAGTTAGAAATGTGAGGACTGGAATAAATGAATTTTAGACACTAAATGTTTACACCAAGACGTCAAGGAGTCTTGAAGACACTGGCATGAAATCTGGTGGATTCTGGTGAACAAATCACTTAGGAGGTGTGGGGCAGGGTGGCGTGGGCCGAGAGAAGCACAGTTATAAAGCTTGAGATTTATAGAGAGACCAAGGAATCAGAAAGTATGCTGACAATCTGAGAAAGGCATTGTCAGAGGGTCCTTAGATTGCCATCCAAGGTTATTTGGGGCCAAGAAATAGATTCATGTGGAGCAGAATCCAAAGACGCTACCCAGGCAGGGTTCTGGTGTCTTATAAATCCACCGTGGTGCAGACCTGAGGGGAGGCGACATCCTGGACAGAGAAGGATTTAGTTCCCCAGTGATCAGGTAGCTGAGAAAACTAGCTTTAGCCTGAGATTCAGCAAGAGCAGAAACAAAGGAGAACCAAGACTGAAAGTGGAGCTTTGTACAAGGTTGTCAACATACTTCATCCAATTTGTACAAGGTTGTCAACATACTTCATCCAATTTGTAAGGTAAGGGGCGTGTCATTTCTAAGAGATGCCTCTCTACCTCAAGCCACCGAGAAATCCTGTGTGGGGTCTGGTGAAAAAGTAAGGAAGAAGGAAGAGTCCTGGGAAGACATCGATCTATCCCTGGGGGCAAAAATACTTTCATGATGGAAAACAAGAGGAAATGGGCACAGATCCATCTCCTGGAGGATGCCCAGTTGAATGCGGGGTCGCCCCCAGCACTCAGCCCACCCCATCGTCATGCTCCCAACATGCCAAGCCCCTCAGTGCCCACTGCTTACACTCGCCTCCCTAGGAGGCTGGCAAAGCACTCAAGTAATTAGTTCCTTTCTCCGCCTGGGCTCTTGACCCGAGAAAACACTGGTGACTCCAGGCAGGAAAGGACCTTGCCTGCCGGTCACACAGGATGGCTGATGATAATGGAGGGCTTGGCCTCAGATTGGGAACCTGGATCATGAAAGCAAAACGAGCCAAAGGACCAGCACTTGGATCTAAATGTCCTCTGCAGAAAGAACAAAGAGTAGCGTGTTGGGACTGATAAGCACATCTCCCAACTGAAGCACAGCTGGAAAGCCAGATAAGTAGCAGACAGGAAGTGAGAGTTAGTTCTTCTATAGTAGGAACAAAACCCAACAACATAACAAAGGAAAGAGGGAAGTCACTTAACAAGTAACTCAAATTCCTTTTTCAAGTCCCAGTCTTCCCCCATCCCAAGAAGTTCCTCAGAGGGGATTCCTAGGAAAAGGTGGGTGTGTGCTTGCGTGAGGTCTCTGTGCAAAAACAGTTTTTCCAAAAGCAACTGGAGTAAGGAAGCTACCCTCAAAGGATCACTTTAAAGAGCTCCCTGCTGGCTCTCCAATTAAGGGAAGTTAAATAAAAACAAAGAATGGCAAAATCATAGGCTCCCCATCAGGATCCGGACCAAGAACCCAGAGAGCCAAAGCAGCAAGTGGGGACGGCACAGAGCAGCGGGGCCGCCCCTCTAGGCTGCTGACCTCACTAGCGGTTACAAGCTCTCCATGAAACAGTGTCTACAGGGCTTACAGCAACACCTGCGCTCCTGCACATGACGCAACCGCTTCATTCGAGAGCTGCTCGCGCTAAATCCCACCCCGAGCCCTCCCACAGGTTACAGGCTCCCCCTCAATCACCCCTCCCCCCGCCTCTGCTCACAAACCGAGTTCCTGTGCTGCTAACACTCATTTCCTCCAGAAAGCCTTTCTCCATCCCACACGACACTGCTCAGGTTGTTCAGTGATGGGGAAAAGGAAACACACTAGACTCGAGTCTGAGTCGCAGACCTTCCAGCAGCTACTGTGTGGGAAGCGCTGTGCTGGCTGGACATCCTGTTACTAAAGAATCCTGTCCTCACTCTCTCGGCAGCATTTTAGATGTCTGGGGTGAGTGTGTGTGTGCTATTTCTCCCTTTAGCCTGGCAAGTTCCCTGTGGGGCAGAGACAAGTGACTGATTCCTCTCCTCTCTCCAACCCCATCAGCCACCCAGAAGCACTCACTACAAAGTTCTTTCCCATAAAGAGGAATAAAAGATCAGGCCCTTCGGGCATTTACCTGTCTGTCCCCCAGGGATCCTGCAATTGCCCCCTTTTTCCCAGAATTAAATGCCCGACAAGGAAAATCAACAACTACCTGGGTCAGCTTCAGGATGCTCCTGGCTCTCCGGTCGACAGTACTTTCCAAACGCCTCCTCCTTAGGAATGTCGGGGTAGAGATAGACCAGCGGAGACACCAGGATGTTGGTAGCATCCATGATCTTATAGCCCATGATGATTTCAGCAAATGACATGTTGTTCAGCTGCTGCTTGGTATATGGTTCCACTGACTGGATCTGGGTCTTACCTGTCATGGGACATTGTAAGGGAAGATAAGGGCACCAGGTAATCTCGGAGAAGACGACCCGATTTATTTTTCCTTGAAAGGGGAAGACATGCCAACCTAGCTCCTGAGCCCTGAATAGCCTGTCCAGTCAGCTGGCGCTGTGGAAATGTTCAGCTGGTTTCTGGAGAGACTACCCAGTTGGGTCATAGGCAATATACCTGAATAACTATGTGCATAAGATATATTAACAAGGTACGTAAGAAAGGAGACGAAGAATGAGATTTAAATTGCAAATTTCTGGGCACCTGGGTGGCTCAGTTGGTTAAGCGACTGCCTTCGGCTCAGGTCATGATCCTGGAGTCCCGGGATCGAGTCCCACATCGGGCTCCCTGCTCAGCGGGCAGTCTGCTTCTCCTTCTGACCCTCCCCCCTCTCATGCTCTCTCTCTATCTCATTCTCTCTCTCAAATAAATAAATAAAATCTTTAGGGGCCCCTGGGTGGCTCAGTCGGTTAAGCGGCTGCCTTCGGCTCAGGTCATGATCCCAGGGTCCTGGGATCAAGCCCCGCATTGGGCTCCCTGCTCAGCGGGAAGCCTGCTTCTCCCTCTCCCACTCCCCCTACTTGTGTTCCCTCTCTCGCTGTCTCTCTCTGTCAAATAAATAAATAATAATAATAAAAAATCTTTAAAATCTTTAAAAAATAAAATAAATTGCAAATTTCTAGGCAAATATTAGCCCCCGAAGCAAGCAAAAACAAAACTGGCAAACAATCCTTCAGCTGAAAGAATTTGGAGAGAAGAAGTCACTGAAAAGTGTTACTACAAGTCGGAGGCAGGGGAGTGCAAAGCCACCTTTGCCCACTAGGGGGCAGCGGGCGCTCGAAACGAGTGCAGTGTGGCAGCCGCAGCAACTGCCACCAGGTGGGGTGGGTGAGAGTCCAACTTACCGCTGATGTCCTTCTCCACCCAAGTGAAGGTGACACCTCCTTCTTTGCTGCTTTCACTGAATCGTAGCAGAAAGGTGCCTGGGGGCTTGGTGCTCAAGATGGCCCGCTCCCGCTCCTTACTGATAAAACCCATTATGTACCTGGAGCCGAAGAAGAGCGACAAGATCTGGGCTGACAGGGTCCCCACCACCGGCCCGCTGAGAGAGCAGGTGACTTCTTACACACGTGCACTCCGCCAGACGCAAGAGTTTCAACCTACCCTTCATTCCAAAGAGCCAGGATGTACTTTTTCACAAGGTCAATGATATTGTCTAGCCAAACCCAGAAGGAGAAGCCTTTGCCAGCCATGTTTTCCTAAAGAAAAGAATAATGGGAAAAGCCAAGTCCACCCTCCCAGCCTTTTCCTTCCTCGAGGCACGATGCCACCAAAATCCCCAGGCCCATCTACCCTCAGGTAGGTCCTACTGACAGCGAGACCATGAGTCTTCAGCCTCCAAGCCCAGTCCCATCCACGACAACCTCATAGGTAAGCATTCCGTCCCACTCCCACTCCCACTAGCTGGCCACAAGGATTTAACAAGACGGCTTACTTTGCAAAATTTAGCCCACGTAATCTGACACCCTGAATAGTTCACACCAGGTCCTGAAGGGAAAAAAGAATAAAGCAGTGTAATTTTCAGGTTTGAATCGAGGTCTTATTTCTTATAACAGAACACACATTCCTACACATCTGTCCCACAATGGGCTGAGAAACCACTGGCTTCCATGGTTTTGAAGGCTCCCTCTGTCGTGCGCATGTGTGCACGCACACGCACATACACACACATCCACCCTCACAAAACCCCATCATGGGATCACCTGGGGTGTTGTTTAGCCTAGCGGAGGTGGTGGACGACATACCAAGTCTCTCCCCCATCTCCCCACCCCCCCTCCTCCTCTTGCGTGGTGGACTGGGGACCAGCAGCACATGTGAATAAGCTGACAGTGTTAGAGGCTCATGTCTGGGACAGCACAGGATAAAGCTGCTTTCCGTGCAGATAGCATGTAAAATAGTACACTAAATTTTTCTTTTTCAGGAGGGAAAAAACAAAACAAGCGTCCAGTTTATTGAAGAAACGGACAGGGATGTCAAGCTTTTTACCTCTGCCTTCTAACAAGCACTTAAAAAATCTCTTCCTAAGGTTAGACAAAGTCGTGCTCTGGAAGGGTGGAGGGGTCCAGCCACCAGGAGAAAAGACATCTGCGTCCTACCTCGGAAATGATCACCAGGAGGCAAGCTTCCTCTGCCTCCCTACTCCACTGGTCCCCCCCACCCCACCCCACCAACTGTGGGAGCGCATGCGTTCTGGCCCCAGCACAGAGCCTCGCTCAGCCAATTTTCCTGAATGAACAGCCCCACAGGCCAGATTCCTTTTCTGAGGAGGGCAGCAGGGAAAAGAGGGGAAATGCTGACCTAAGAGTTTCTCTGCCAGCGTAGTCAACTGCTCGATGCTCAGCCCTCGCTTTGTGGTGGAGGAGAACTGCCAGCTCAGCACCTCGGCCACTTGATCCCAGGTGCCAATCGGGGGCTTGGTGAAAAAGTTCACGTTCTATTGAAAACGACACAGTTGCTCATTGAGATGAGACAGCGGTGCCTGATGACCCACACGAGGGACCACAACAACGGTTTCCAGAGGATGGGCGCCTACCTTGGGGTTGTTGGTCAGCATGTTATACCACAGGATTGATGCCCAGGCATTTGGCATCTGACAGATGTTGGAGATCACCACAACTGGCAAGGAATGGGTCTGTGGAGAAAGTGGGGAATGAGTTGGGGAAGCAGAGGGCCCTCAAAGCTTCGAACATCTCTTCAGCCATACCTGCGGTTTTGGAATAAAAGGATGTGCCGTGAACCACACATACTGCCAACTTTTGGGGAAGAGCGTGGCTGAGTCAGCTCAACACCCAGAGTGGAGAGAGTGCCAAACATGGGCCACAGGGCACAACCAGGAACTTGAAAATCTGACTTGCTCAAAGCTGGAACTCACAGCCCCCAGATTCCCCATTTATAAAACCTGGAAGGCATTCTCTGAGAACTACAGCTGTATCTACCCGTTAGACAGGTCCCAGGAGCCAAAGACAAGGATTCTTGCTTTCTTCAGCTCTATCTTTAACTTAAAGATCAAGAAAATTGGTAAAAGAGAATGCAAATGCCATGATTTCCTGTATACTAAAAACACTGGCTGTCTAAAGACTATTTTGCCCAAACTTTATAAAGTCAACTATCACAAATTTCTTTCTTTTTTTTTTAAAGATTTTATTTATTTATTTGACAGAGAGAGACACAGCGAGAGGCGGAACACAAGCAGGGGGAGTGGGGGAGGGAGAAGCAGGCTTCCCGCCGAGCAGGGAGCCCGATGTGGGGCTCCATCCCAGGACCCTGGGACCATGACCTGAGCCGAAGGCAGACGCTTAACGACTGAGCCACCCAGGCGCCCCAACTATCACTAATTTCTAAATACAGATTTTCACATCAAATTTGCTGAAAGCTGACTTTATAGTTGACCCTTGAACAACATGGGTTTGAACTGCATGGGTCCATTTATACGTGGATGATTTTTTTTTTTTGCTAAACAGAGTACAGTACTGTAAATGTATTTTCTCTTACGATTTTCTTGCAACATTATCTTTTCTCTAGCTTACTTTATCGTAAGAATACAATATATAAAACATATAACATACAAAATGTGTGTTAATAAAAAGAATTTAAAAAATTTTTTTAAATGTGTGTTAATAGACTATGTTATCAGGAAGGCTTCCAGTCAACAATAGGCTATTAGTTGTTCAGTCTGGGGGGAGTCAAAAGTTACACACAGATTTTCAACTGGGCAGGGGGTTGGCGCCCCTAACCCCTGTGTTGTTCAACGGTCAACTGTATGTGCATCTTCTAAGCACTCAAGCAAGACTCTACTCTCAGCTGGGATACTCTGGAGTTTTGGGAGAAAAACAAGCAAAAATAAACACAGTGCTAAGCAGAGAGTCATCACTCTACCTTCTGTAGAAAAAATCCGAACTAGAAGTTCTTGTCCCAAATCACCCCTGCATGCAGCCCTGTCCCAACTCTGTGGCAGAACTCACCTCAAGGTCAATCTTGAGGCCTTGGTGATACACCTCAGTCTCAAAGGTGATCAGGTGCAGCTCCTCGGTGACAATCAGGGAGGCCTACAATAACAAGAAGGACACTCCCTTCCTCAGAGAGAACGGCCTTGGACACTAACAGCCATAGCTGAGAGCAACATGCCACAGCCACGCTGCACCAAGAAGGGTAGTCCACCAGGGGGCCACAGACACGCCGCCCGGGACACAACTCTGAGCACATGCTCTCTTTAAGTGCTATGATCTTCAACCTCAGCTTTTACTGGTTCTTCAACCTCATCCTTTACTGGTTTTATTAGAAAATTCCAGACCCAAGAAGTTAGTTACAAAACGTGTAAGGCACAAAGAATAACAAAACAATGAACACCTTTACCCATTATGCAGTGTAAGAAAAAGAGCATTACCACTGAGATTCTCAGGGTGCCCTTCCCCACTCCCATTCCTGTCCCTGCTCCCTCAGATCTAACTGCATTTTGTCTTTTGGGTTTATTATTTCCTAGCTTTTCTTTATGGCTTTACCTTATTTATATCTCTAAATAAGGTAAGCGCTGTTTAGTTTTGGATGTTTGTGAACCTTATACAGATGAAACCATACCCTACGTACTGGCGTGACCCACTTTTGCATGCCTCACTTTTTGCGTCCATGGTTGTGTGAATCTGCTGGTTATTCATTTTCACAGTTATATAGTATTCCATCATAGGACTCTACCACAAATCCTTTACCCACTCTAGTGGTGATGGTGGGTTATATTTAGGACTTACCATCAGGCTGCTGTGACATTTTGTACATTGTCTCCTGCTACATATAATTGTTTTTCTGAAGCGACAATTTATACTCCCACCAGCAATATAGCTACCTTATTTTCAGTAAGACTTCCCAATGAATTCTCAGAAACACAATGCCAATTCATTTTTAAAACACTTTTTTCCTAACTATAAAAATTATGTATGTTCAGTTTAAAATGCAAATATTACAGAGATAGAATAGAGCAGTCTTGGATACCAACAGCAGCATAAATACATCAACACTGTTTGGTATATATTCCTTGAGAACTTTGGGATGCATACATGAATAGGCAAAAAACAGTGTAGTACACTTTTTAAACAAATATACTAATATACTATTCAAATTATTTTGCATCTTGCTTTTTCTTTTTTTCTTTTTTTTAATAGGTTCCACACCCAACGTGTGGGGCTTGAATTCACAATACTGAGATCAAGAATCACACACGCTCTACCCACTGAGCCAGCCAGGCGCCCTGCATCTTGCTTTTTCGAAACAAATATGCCACACACATTTTTCTATGTTGTTGCACTTCACTCTTAATAGTCAAGTACTATAAATTCACCTTTTTTTTTTTTTTTTTTAGGTCTGCTACATTTTAGAGAAGAGGGAAGACTGGCTCAGGGCATAAACACCAGAAAAAGAACAGGGTGTCACAATCTTTTCAAAAGAGTAAAAACTAGTTTCTGGTCACATTTACCTATTTTTTTTTTTAAGTAATTTATTCTTGACACTAAGCATTCTATAATCTGAATCAGAGGGAGGGAGACAATAAGGGAAATAAGGGGGACCGGTTTATTCTTTTTTTTTTTTTTTTAAGATTTTATTTATTTATTTGAGAGAGAGAAAATGAGAGACAGAGAGCACGAGAGGGAAGAGGGTCAGAGGGAGAAGCAGACTCCCCGCTGAGCAGGGAGCCCGAGATGGGACTCGATCCCGGGACTCCAGGATCATGACCTGAGCCGAATGCAGTCGCCCAACCAACTAAGCCACCCAGGCGCCCCAGGTTTATTCTTTTTCTTAGATATTTAACTCCGACTTATTACAACCTTCGATGCCACCGCAGTGAGAAAAACAGGTCACCAAAAATGGAGCCAAGTGGTTTGGGCTGGCAGAAGTTGGAAGGGGAATCTGGAAAGCCCCAGGCAAGGTGGAAAGCTTCTTTCCTACTAAATGAGTGTGGGTAAGTCAGCCAGGGACTTTCCACTCCTCCTTAAAGATGAGCCACTCCTGCCAACTCCCGGGACAATCAAGGAAATGCTCCAAGCCAGAGAACTCCAAAGCAGATACGACTTCTGACCATGTCATTCTGACCTGCGGTGATTTTTCTGTATGACTACAGCTTAACCACAGGTTGGTGTCTCTAATTCTGGGCAATAAGAAGGTTCTTGTTCTTTCCCCATCAAAGGAAACCCTCGCAGTTGGCTTTCATCAGCAACAAAACTTACGTCACAATTGGCTCGGCCCCCATTACCACATCTTTGCTCTCTCAGGGTCTGTAAGAGAAGCAGGGAGCACCCATGTCACGTGAGGCTCCCCACCACCAACCTCCCCCCGCTCCCACGACCAGACGCCCTGGGAGACGGGGACCCAGGCTCCCGCCTCATACCAGGTGTTTGAATTCTGCAGACAGGCTGCCGTTGTTAGACTCTTCCATGTTCATCACTTTTGTGTTTGTGCCCAGAATGTTAAATTTCCGGGATCTGAATCACAGCAGAGAAACCAACCACATAGGTGACGGGGTAGCCAGAGGACAAAGTCAGATTAAACAGATCAAAAGGAAGCCTCCAGGCTGAACTTACCCTCTGAGAGCTGCAACATCCCCGGAGTCTCTGTTAAGAGTATAAACTGGTGTTAATAAAACTGGCCCTGTGTTTCTTCAAAAAAATACCTGTCATTTACTCTGCTGGAAAAACCACTGTTCTCCCGGGAATTTCTGTAAATGATTCAATTACATTTTATATGTGACATATGACAACCCTCTCCATACCTACCCAGCATCAACTCCCTCTTCCCAACAGACCCTTGGTTCTGCTCAAGTATCCTTCCCATGCCCACCTCCAGGGGATCCTGATTGTTAAGTACATCAGAGCGGAGCATGCCCACAGCGCAGTGGTCCTGGGGGTGAGGACATGACCTATGCTGTCTCACTCAGACTGGGAAGGAATTACAACCCAGGCTGGATTTACTGTCCACAGCTTCAACGGAATATGAGCAAGGAAGCATGGGACCTTAACTACCACAAGCAACCACACTGGAACTCATAAGGGAATCTTACAAAGCCAGTAATACTTACGATAGCTGAGAAGGCAAATGGAAGATTCTGGGTCCTGGGTGACATAAGTGAGTCACTAATCTCACTGTCAGGAACTTGCCCTAACTCTGCATTTCCAGTTACACTGGGCTGCAAATTTCCTTTATTATTTAAGTCACACAGTTTTCTCTAAAGGTTTACTATTACCGGCAACTCAGATCATCCCATTTGATATTAGCTGGACATAGTCCTCCAGCGTGTCCACTGTCTTTCAGCTCTATGTGTTTGAATATATAGTTTTTTATATAGTCACATTTCTCGGTCTTCTCCTTTCTTCCTTTTTTATTTTAAGTACTGTTTTAAAAGTGCTTCTCCATTGCTATATATGCACTAATATAGCTACTATTTATTAAATAGAGCATTTTGTGGGGGTTTACAGATTAAAATTGATCAAATTTTAAACCATTCAGAAGATACCTTTCCATATATCACATTTTAAAACTTAAGAGTTCTTGTTACCAGGAAATTCTCCCTCATGTTTAATCTAGATTTCCTTTTTATTTTTTTAAGATTTTTATTTATTTGAGAGAGAGAGAGAGAACGAGCAGGGAGGAGGGGCAGAGGGACAGAGGGATTTATTTGACAGAGAGAGACACAGCGAGAGAGGGAACACAAGCAGGGGGAGTGGGAGAGGGAGAAGCAGGCTTCCCGCCAAGCAGGGAGCCCGATGTGGGACTCGATCCCAGGACCCTGGGATCATGACCTGAGCCGAAGGCAGACGCTTAACGACTGAGCCACCCAGGCACCCCTCTAGATTTCCTTTTTAGAAAAAAAAATTTTGTATTACAGCTTTGATATATAATTGATGAACAATAAAGTACACTATTGAAAATGTATGTGGATAAGGTCTGACATATGTATACATGCTACACATACTGTGAAATCATCAGCACAAACCAGATAATGAATATACCCATCATCCCCAAAGTTTCCCCAGACCCATTTGTAATCCATTCCCAAATCCCACACTCCACCCCACCTCTGTCCCCAGGCCACCACTGATCTGCTTTCAGTCACCATAGATACATTTTTTTTTTTTTAAGATTTTATTTATTTATTTGACAGAGAGAGACACAGCGAGAAAGGGAACACAAGCAGGGGGAGAAGGAGGGGAGAAGCAGGCTTCCCCGCGGAGCAGGGAGCCCGATGTGGGGCTCGATCCCAGAACCCTGGGATCACGACCCGAGCCGAAGGCAGACGCCCAACGACTGAGCCACCCAGGCACCCCACCATAGATTCATTTTCATTTCTAGAATTCTATATAAATGGAAACTGAAGCACGACTCTTTTTTTTTTTCTTGGTTTGGCTTCTTTCACTCAGTGTAATTATTTTGAGATTTCTTATGTGTTGCAAGTATTGATAATTCATTCCTCTTTATTGGTAAGTGATATTCCATTTATAGATATACCACAAATTATGATGCTCCAGTGGCACCATTGGTCAGTGCATGCTTACAGATATGCCACGAATTGTTTATTCATTCACCTATTAACGGACATTTGTGTACAGCCCTTTGTGTGCCTATATACTTTCATTTCTCTTGGGTTAATACCTCGGAGTGGAATGATAGGCTCCTAGGGTAGGTGCCTGTTTAACTTCATAGGAAACTGCCAAATTCTTTTCCAAAGTGGTTTTACCATTTTGCAATTTTACCATCATTATATTATATATACATTCACCTACGCTTTTAAGATGCATGAGTTTAAACATATAGATACCTCTAATGGTTAGCAAACAGTGAAACTCAAGTTTCTCATTCAAATCCTCCCCAAGAGCAGGTATTCCCAAAACTACTTCCTGAATAATCCATCCTTTACTCATTGATTATATAAACTTGAAGTCTATTTCTGGACTCAAGATTTTCTTTCAATGATCAATCAGTTTATTCCTGCCCTAGTAACACACTCATTTAGTAACTGAAACTCTACATTTTAATATCTGGCAGGGCATCTTCCCACACCACTCCCATTTATTTTTATTCACTAAAAAAATTTTTTCTAGGGGCGCCTGGGTGGCTCAGGTGGTTAAGCGACTGCCTTCAGCTCAGATCATGATCCCGGGGTCCTGGGATCAAGCCCCACGTCTGGCTCCTTGCTCAGTGGGGAGCCTGCTTTTCCCTCTCCCTCTACCTGCTACTCCGCTTGCTTATGTTCTCTCTCTTTCTGTCAAATAAATAAATAAATAAAAATTCTTTATTTAAAAAAAAAACTTATAAAAAAAATTTTTTTTGAAAGTGGAATGGTGGTTGCCAAGGGATGGGAGGATAAGGGAACAGGGACTTGTTCAATGGATGTAAAGTTTCCATGTTGCAAGATGAATAAGTTCTAGAGATCTGTTGCACAACAATGTGAATATACGTAACACCATACACATAAAAATGAGTAAGATGGGCGCGTGGGTGGCTCAGTCGTTAAGCGTCTGCCTTCGGCTCAGGTCATGATCCCAGGGTCCTGGGATCAAGTCCCACATCGGACTCCCTGCTCGGCAGGAAGCCTGCTTCTCCCTCGCCCACTCCCCCTGCTTGTGTTCCCTCTCTCGCTGTCTCTCTCTCTCTTGAAAAATAAATAAAATCTTAAAAAAAAAAAAAAAAAGAATAAGACGGTAAATTTTACGTTCAAAATTTTTACCGTAACTAAAGATAAGTAAACACATCCATTTTTTTTTTTTTAACTATCTTTGTGGGGCACCTGGGTGGCTCAGTCAGTTAAGCATCTGCCTTCAGCTCAGGTCATGACCTTCAGGGTCCTGGGATCGAGCCCCACATTGGGCTCCCTGCTCAGCGGGAAGCCTGCTTCTCCCTTTCCCTCTGCCTCTCTCCCTGCTCGTGCTCCCTCTCTCTCTCAAATAAATAAAATCTAAAAAAACCCAAAAAACAAAAACTATCTTTGTTTATTTTTCTCATCTTAGCTACAACTTGAAGAGCAAGTAAAGAGATTCTGTTCACATTTTGCTTGGTGCCACGTTAACTGAGAAGAATCAACATCTTTATAATAAAAGTCTGCAATCCAGGAATATGATTCATTTCATCACTTTTTACAATATCCCTTCTCATAAAATTTCATAATTTTCTTCAAATAGATCTTAAACATTTCTGTTACGTTTATCACAATGTATTTTTTTACTTTTTTGCTTATTGTGAAATCATTTTTTTCTATTATAATTTCTGACTGGTTAATGCTAATATATGGTTGAAGTTATTAATTTTTGTTTATTTATTAAACCTACCATCTTCCTTAAGTCCCTTATTTTATTAGTAATTATTTTCCAGTTCACTCTCATGACAATTTCCAGATACTTATGTCACCAAAAATTAAGGATAATGTTCTTTTTTCAAATCTCTTCAAAGGGTATGTGCTTTTAATTTTTGAAAAGTACAGTCAAATTTTGAAAAGTGTCTATTCAATTATGTGGTGAAGTATGGAACAATGAAAAGCATCAATTTTTCCTATATAGCCAGGGTTTTACATGATATGCATAAATTACATTTATAGGTAAAAAATTAAAGAAAAAGGGGGACTGAGGGTCACAACAGCAATCACAACTCATATCTGTACCACCAGTTTTGTGGTTTTGTTCAGGCACGTAAATGACAATGCACTACAAGACTTTTGAAAACTTTTGTTCAAAAAATGAAGATCCCTGAATGGAGATAAAGTCTCTAAGTTCACATGGTATCTGTCCAAGTTCTCATTTCTGTCTCTCATTTGAAAAAAGGAAAAAAAGAGTTAAGATACAGAGTACTTACTTGTCAATGCACACTTTAATTTTAAGCTGATAATTTAACTCAGGGAATTTGACCAGCAATCTATTTCAAAAAAGGGGGGAAAAAAAGTTTTTGAGTAAAGAAAAAAGTATCAGTTAAAAAAAAAAAAAGTCAGCAGGCTCCCCCAAGCAACTCCTACTTGAAGGAATATAAAATTCACAACGCTTCCTTTCTGAAAGGTGAATAAAGCACAATCCCAAATTCCTCTTCCTGCTAGTGCGTCTTTGACCTAAAGTTGAGTATCACCCCTACAGGCCAAGAGGTACTGAAAGAAAGCCTAAGAACCTCGAACTTGGACAAAGTTGTGAGAGATTCACAAAAGGATAATAAAAGTCGTTTCATGAGAAATATTACGGGAATATGTGCTCTGCAGCTGGTATTCTTTCTGTTAAACCTGAAACCTAACACCAAGTTTCTGAGGGAAATTTCACTGCAGAAGGGCAAACCCCAACATACCTGCTCTGACTTGGGTGTGAAAGTCACACCCTGCCCTGCAAGGCCCACCACCCACCTGCTCGATGGCCTCTTAGCTTCTATATCTCGAAGCCTTACTCTTTCCCTTAAAGTCCTTAGGGAAAAGTAGGCTCAAAGAACAGAAAATAACCAGCATTATTTTGCCTCTGTTGCAGGGGAGAAGGAGACACAAAGGCCTAAGACTATAGGGCTGAAATTATAGCAATTTGCCCAGGTAACTTCAAAAAGAGGTGACCATTCCTTGGCTTTTTACAGGAGAAATCAAGGAGCAAGCTGATATTATGCCAACAAATTCCATACACACCATACTACTGCCTGTCATGCCTAGAAAGAACAACCCTGGCCACCTACTCTGCTCTCGTCCTAAGAGCGTCTCTCAATAAAATATCTACCAAAAGAGGAAGCGCGGGGCCCACCTGACTTTGGTAGTGAACTGGACTCCAGTCTTGATGACTAATGGCCGGTCAGGATGCATGGGCATGCAGGGCTGCCGCTCAACCACGAAGGCACTGAAAGCAAAGAGAGGGACAGCAGTCCATACACTTCTCAGAGAACTGGTCTTTGTCCTGTACCTCTGAAGCGAGGGGATGAGGGAAAGGAACCAGAATTCTAAGTTACCTTTTCATTAAGTTTCTAAACAGCTCTACAATCCTCTCCTCCAGCATTGGCCGGTGCTGTACGATGGGATCCCCTTTGTAGGACACTTTTTGCTGCAACTCCTCCAGTTTCTTAATTTGTTGGCGGGTCTGAAGTTGAGATTCCGCTAATGAGGTTATCCTGCCAATAAATAAGAAAGCCACTAGTTACCTCAGTGAGTGCACACCAGTGAGCTGGAGAAGGGGCAGGGAACACCACAGATGTAAACACCACCATGTAGTCCCCTAAAATAAGAAAGGGGAATTTTTTTTTTTATTGTGGTAAAATATACATTATGTAAAACTGATCATTTGTAAGTATATAATTCAGTGGTATTAAATAAGAAAAAGTGGGGGGTGCCTGGCTGGCTCAGTTGGTAGAGCATGTGACTCCTGATCTCGGGGTTGTGAGTTCAAGCCCCACGTTGGGCATAGAGCTTACTAGAAAAATAAAAATAAGAAAAAGGGAGGGTGCCTGGGTGGCTCAGTTGGTTAAGCGACTGCCTTCAGTTCAGGTCATGATCCCGGGGTTCTGGGATCAAGTCCCACTTCGGGCTCCCCCTGCTCTACGGGGAGCCTGCTTCTCCCTCTCCCTCTGCCTGCCACTCCCTCGGCTTGTGCTCTCTCTCTCTCTGCCAAATAAATAAGATCTTTAAAAAAAAAAAAAATAAGAAAAAGGGAATCTATTTTGTTTTTTAAAAATAGTCCCTTCCAGAACTTAACATTCAAAGAGAGAGCTAGGCATAGAGGAAAAAGTGTTAAAACTTATACCCCAAAGAAGGGACTGGGTGGCTTAGTTGGTTAAGCATCTGACTTCGGCTCAGGTCATGATCTCAGAGTCCTGGGATGGAGTCTTGCATTGCACTCCCTGATCAGCAGGGAGTCTGCTTCTCCCTCTCTCTCTGCTCCTCACCCCCCCACAAATAAATAAAATCTTAAAAAAAAAAGAATGTATTTTTAAAAAAGCACTTAAAACTGCTTTCAGTGAATTAACAAAATTCAGGGTTAGTGAGGATGTGAACAAATAGGCTTTCTCATGTAGGGCCGTCCTAAATTTCCAATTTCATGCTCTACATGCTGGGTGCCCCTTTATGTCAAGTTTCTTATAGTTTAAGCCGGTGCATCATGGGCACTGGTTGGGCTTTGCACGTCAAGGATGCTCACTAAGGACCTGCTGCGTGAATGAAAGCAAAAGAGCAGATAAAGAATGATCCCATTGATGTGAAAATGTAGAGATGACGATCTTTTTTTTTTTTAAAGATTAATTTATTTGAGAGAGAGAGAGAGAGCGCATGCATTGGGGGTGAGGGGGGCAGAAGGACAGGGACAAGCAGACTCAGCACTGAGCACACAGCCCAACATGTGGCTTGATCTCATGACCCTGAGATCAGGACCTGAACCGAAATCAAGAGTCAGACGCTTAACCAACTGAGCCACCCAGGCACCCCTAGAGATGATGATCTTTATGTACATATGTACAACAGCCGATGGCTAGAGGGATGGCCATCGAAATTCTAGCTGTAGGGACCTCTGAATGATTGGTTTTTAAAAGACTTTTCTTCTCTTTATTAATTTTCTGTGTATGAACTTTTTTCCCTTATAAAAAGCATGTGTCATTTTAGATTATTAAAATAACTAAAATTGAAACTTTGGTCTGCGCTACGTAGTTAAACCAAAAGCTTTATTTAAATTATTAAATAAAACAGGGGCGTCTGGGTGGCTCAGTCAGTTGGGTGTCCGACTCTTGGTTTCGGCTCAGGTTGTAATCTTGCAGGCATGGGGCTCTGCACTCAGCACGGAGTCGGCTTCACATTCTCTCTCTCCCTCTCCCTCTGCCATTCCCTCCATGTGCTTGCTCGCTCTCTCTCTCTCTCTCAAATAAATAAAACATATTTAAAATATAGCAACATAAACAAATTTTTATTACAAAAATGTCCAAATAAAGGAAAACTCTTCAGACTTTAACTCTTAGACTTGTTTTTTCTTAAGATTTTATTTATTTATTTCAGAGAGAGAGAGTGTGAGCACACACAAGCAGGGGGAGGGGCAGAGGGAGAAGGAGAGACAGAAGCAGACACCCCACCGAGTAGGGAGCCCAACTCGGGGCTCGATCCCAGGACCCTGCGATCAGGACCTGAGCCAAAGGCAGACCCTTCACTGACTGAGCCACCCGGGCACCCCTAGGCTTAATGTGAGTACATCAAAGTCTGCATCTGTGGGATGGAGTCCAACTCCTGAGCCTGCCGTTATGACCGTAATTTTAGCACAGCATTCTAGAAAGAAAGGAAACTCTCCTCCGTCATCTTTTACCAGTTTTCTAGGCGATCTAGGCAGATGTTGGGAGGGCCTCCAATGCACGCAATCTGCTGCCGCCTCTTCCAGTCAGCCAGCTCTTCGTCCGTGAGCATTTTCTGCACATACTCCATCGCTGACAACAGCCCCGCCAACTCACTCACGATGTTCTGGTTGGAAACCCAAAGTCAGAAAACATTTCCTCAAACCGTCTCTAACCACACTTTTTTTTTTTTTTTAAGATTTTATTTATTCATCTGAGAGAGAGAGAATGAGAGAGAGCACATGAGAGGGGGGAGGGCCAGAGGGAGAAGCAGACTCCCCGCCGAGCAAGGAGCCTGATGTGGGACTCGATCCCGGGACTCCAGAATCATGACCTGAGCCGAAAGCAGTCGCTTAACCAACTGAGCCACCCAGGCGCCCTCTAACCACACTCTTAAGTCAATTCCAGAGAAGGAACTTATTAGACGCCAGGCAAGTTCTGCCACTAGACGCGGCGACCGCGCAGGTGCGGGGGGGGGGGGGGGGGGGGGGAGGGGCGGGCAGGGGAGGCGGTCGGATGCTCTTACGCGCCGCATCTGGTCCAGCGCGGTGAGCATCTGCTCCAGCTGCTGCATCTTCTGCCTGGTCACTGACTGGTTGTTCCCATTCAGATCCTGCATGTCTGTGGGCGAAGGAAAACCCCCTTGACCCGATGGAGTACTAGGATCCTTAACAGCTGCGCTCGCGTAAGCACCAGGAGCCCCCGTGCACCACCTCGGCCCCTGCCACAAACTCGGAGCGGACGCGAGAGACGCAAGTCTGGGAACTCAGGGAACAATCTCACTTTCTACAGCAGATTTTAATGTCTCTAATAGTCACTTGCCTCCTTGACTCTTGAGGGTTTTATAGTTGAAATCAAAGTCATCCTGGAGATTCTCGACCACTTTCATTTTCTGTTCTAGATCCTGTTTAAAATACCAACACACAAACCAAACCAAACCAAAACAAAACAAAAAGGCAGAAGTGAGCAAGATTTTCCTGGGAGGAGGGAAAGGAAAGTTTCTGAGAATTAAAATGAAGCCAAAACCTCAAAAAAGACACACACAGGACCCACAGGCAATGTCCCCAAGGAAAGGCTTCCTGCCCAAGACTTGCTTCACCTGTACTCGCTTCCGAACATCCTGTAGGTGCTGCTCCAGCATCTGCTGCTTCTCCGTCACCACGGCGGCTGTGGGGTGGTTGGCCTGGCCCCCTTGCTGCCAGAAAAGGGAATCAACACACATGTGAACACAGGAAATACAGGGAGAAAAATACTTCTGTCCAGTTGCCATCCCACCCACCACCCTTTCTGTTTGGCTGAGGTGCTGCTGCCACTGGGCGGGGAATGGAAACAGAGGCAGCGTTCTGGGCGTCGTCAGCATGGTGCAAGGACCCTCTCCCCAGGTTTGGCCTGTGCCCTTGCCTTTTTACCTTAGGCCACCTCTAAAGCCACTCTGGGTTGCACTAGGGGACCACATGGGGAGCTAAGACATGGTCCCCACCTTCGAAAACCTCATTCTAGGTTAAGTACGTTAAAAAAATTCAGAACTGGGGTGCCTGGGTGGCTCAGTTGGTTAAGGTCTGCTTCCAGCTCAGGTCATGATCTCCAGGTCCTGGGATCGAGCCCCGCATCGGGCTCTCTCCTCAGCAGAAGCCTGCTTCTCCCTCTCCCACTCCCCCTGCTTGTGTTCCCTCTCTCGCTGTGTCTCTCTCTATCAAATAAATAAATAAGATCTTTAAAAATTTTTTCAGAACAGTTATGACAGCAGATCTTGGATGCCTATTTAGTGTAGGTGGTAGCCAGCACATTTCTGTGGTGTAATAAAAAACCACTGTCCCAGAGGTGAAATGCCATAAGAAGAGAGAACACCTCACGGGAGAAGGGGAGGCTGGTACCTTGAAAAGGTCAAATAGCACATGAAATGTGAACATGGTAAACTTTGTCAAAGTAGTAGGATATCTGGGGCACGTGGCTGCCTTAGGTGGAGGAGCTTCTGGCTCTTGATCTCAGGGTGGTGGGTTCAAGCCCCACACTGGGTACAGATTACTTAGAATGAATAAATCAATAAAAACTTAAAAAAAAAAAAGGAATAAGATACCTGACCCCCAAAAAAGACCACACAGGGGCGCCTGGGTGGCTCAGTCTGGTAAGTGGCCAACTCTTGATTTCAGCTCAGGTCATGATCGCAGGGTCGTGGGATCGAGCCCCACGTTGGGCTCTGTGCTCAGTGGGGAAAGTGCTAGAGATTCTCTCCCTCTCCTGCTGTCCCTCCCCTTGCTTAAGTGCTTACCCTCTCTCTTTCAAAAAAATAAATAAATCTTTTTATTTTTTAAAGATTTTATTTATTTATTATAAAGAGAGAGAGAACACAAGCAGGGAGGAAGGGCAGAGGGAGAAGGAGAAGCAAGCCCGACTTCCTGCTGAGCAAGGAGCCTGACATCATGACCTGAGCCGAAAGCAACACTTAACCGAATGAGCCACCCGAGTGCCCCTAAATAAATCTTTTAAAAAGAAAAAAGCTGCAGTGATCAAGACAGTGAATATTGGTACAGGACTGAGGTATCAACCAATGGAACAAAACTGAGAGTCCAGGAAAGACATCATAGAACCAGTTTTCCAAACTAGAAATTCTCAGTGTCAAAGACAGACTTCACACTGAGTCACCAAATCCTCCTGGCTCTGTGCTCCATAACTGCACAAATAGATCTCTAGTTCCACCAGCTCAGCTCAAGCCCCAACTATTGATCTCTTTGCCTCTAGTCTCTCTCATTTCCAATCTGTTCCCTACACTGCTACCAGGAGTCTCCGAAATAGACCCAAACGTGCCAGCTCTACGGAGACCCATTCTCTCCCTTTCCAGCGGTCCCCATCCAAGTCCACAGAACACAAACCTCCCTGAGAAGTTTAGGGAAGCCAGCCACCACCCCGATTTTATTCTCTTCACAGGGGGAGTGACTCATCTGATCGGTGAGATTAGGAGAAAGACTCTGCATGCACAGATCTTCGAAGAACCCAGCACTTTAGCTGGTGCCTCTCTCCTCCACCGCTGCCTTCCTGGGGCACACCGAAGGCAGGAGTGAGGGCCTGGTTTCTAAAAGCACTTCTAGAGGCCGCTCGCTCTGTGTTCAGTGGGCATTCGTCTCTGGTCTCTGAAGCTCCATATGGATGGCTGGGGACGAGTTGCTCTGCAAACCCAATCTCTCTACCCCCAGACCTAACACAGGGGCAGGCATCAGAAATCCCCAATGGTTCTCTGCCCAAACCATGTTTTCCAGTCTTGTTTTACCAACAATACAGCTGACAGTTTACTGTTTTCGACTGCCATGTCTATTTCTAAATTGGTATTGCACTTAAAGCGGAACAGACCTGGTTCACTGCCACCCACAGAAGCCCGCCTCTAGTACCTTTGTAAAAACCTACTGGCTCCCACTGCTCCCAGGGATATACATCTCAACCCAGCACCGACCGATGCTTCACGCAATCTGATGACAAGTGAAGCCTTCCTCTCTGTGTTCCAGTCACCCCCAAACTACCCACTCTTCCCCACATATAGCGTGCTCCCCACACACCGTCCACTCAGCCTGGCAAGTGCTTCTGCACGAGCACAGCCCAACTCCTTCACCTTCAAACTCAGTGCAACCGTTAGCTCTCCTGTAAAACCTTATTCAACTTCTGTAGGCAAAATTATTCACATCTTCCTCTGTGTTTCTCTCACTTTGAGTGTATACCTATCATCCCAACTAGACTGACAGCCCTGCTTGGCAGGACTCACATCTACTTGTCTTCCTAGCTCCTGGTGCTCGACCCATAAAAGACACTTAATATGCCAGAAGGGGCGCCTGGGTGGCTTAGTCGTTAAGCGTCTGCCTTCCGTTCAGGTCATGATCCCAGGGTCCTGGGATCGAACCCTGCATCGGGCTCCCTGCTCTGCGGGAAGCCTGCTTCTCCCTCTCCCTCTCCCCCTGCTTGTGTTCCCTCTCTTGCTGTGTCTCTCTCTGTCAAATAAATAAAATCTTAAAAAAAAAAAAAAAAGAATATGCCAGATGATGTAAAAAGAGAAAATAACAGAAAGGCCTGGGATGAGGCCTCAAGGATCCAATTTCTAGCTCTAGATCAAGGGCTGCAAACTTTCCCTATAAAGGCCAGGTGGTAAATATTTTTGGCTTTGTGGGTCATCCAGTCTCTGTTGTAAATACTCAGCTCTGTCACTGCAGCATGCAAGCAACCACAGACAACATGTACATAAAAGGGTGGGGCTGTGTTCCCCAAAACTTCATTTACAAAAAGGCATGGCAAGCTGGACTGGGGCCACTGGGACTGTTTGCCAACCCCAGATCTATAAGATTGGGAATATCCGTAGGGCACTTACTGCTCCTTTGTCTCTTGTTATAAATTTGGGAGCCTCTACCCCAATTGGCTTAAATCGAATATTTTTATCTTATGGGACAGGATGAACACATTATGGTTCTCCAGGACAGAAAACTCCAGTGATGCAGGGGGGAGTGCCTCTCTGCTAACCTCCCCGTCTCCAGTGCCTCAAACAGTGAGTGTTCTCAGATCCCCCCTGCCCATATCTGAGCACATCAGTGCTCTGCTGAAAGTTCCTCAGTGGGTTCTCATTTCTTACAGTCGTGGTGACGGGGATGATGATGTGACAGTGATCGTGACAGCAGGAGCAGAGAGCAGTTAATGTTTACTTGGAAGGTACGTGGCAGGCACTGAAGTAGGTACTGTCATCATTCCCATGGGAGGCACATTCCCACAGCCTGAGGTTACACAGCAAGGGGCACAGCTATGAGGCTCAAACCCAGGCAGTCCGGTCCCCAGACACTTGTGGTAAACGGCTCTTCCAAAGCCCAGCTGCTGGGCATGACTAACTAAAGAGGTGTTCACAAATAGGGCCCTGGACCTTTCCTTATCCAACCAGATGAGTAAGTTTTCCACAACTCCTCCCAACAATATATGTGTTAATGGTTCCCTGTCTGAACACGATCTTTTCTCTGCCTGGCGTGCTCTCTCATCAGCCTGGTGTACTTGTCGTCAGCCTTAAGTCTTGGCTCGAACACAATCTCTCTCTCTGTGATACTTTCCCGACTCCCTCAGTTAGACTTAGATGTCCTTTCTTTTATGTTCCTGCTACATCTTTGTCTTGTAAGGGAAAAAACTGTACACTGCTGTTCATAGCAGCATTATTCACAATAGCCAAAAGGTGGATGCCACCCAAGTGTCCCTCAACAGATGAATGCGTAAACAAAATGTGGTCTATGTACCACAATAATGTACGACATTATTCAGCTTTTGAAAGGCAGGAAATTCTGACACGTGTTACAACAAGGATGAACTGTAAAGAATTATGGTATGCGAAGTGAGCCAGGCACAAAAATACAGTGTATGAGTTCCTTCTATGAGTTCCCAAATTCACAGAGACAGAAAGGAGAGTGGTGGTTGCCGGGGGCTGCGGTGAGAAAGGAACGAAGAATTGCTGTTTAATGGGTCTAGATTTTAGTTTTGTAAGATGAAAAGAGTTCTGGAGATGGTTGCACAACAACATTAACTGAACTCAACACTACTGAACTGTACACTTAAAAGTGGTACAGATGAGGACACCTGGGTGGCTCAGTCGTTAAGCGCCCACATCGTTAAGCATCTGCCTGCACTGGGCTCCCCGCTCAGTGGGAAGCCTGATTCTCCTCCCCCCCCCCCCGCCGCTCCCTCCCCTCCACTCGCGCTCTCTCTCTCACTCTCGCGCTCTCTCTCTCTCAAATAAATAAATAAAATCTTTAAAAAAAAAAGTTTCAGATGGTAAATTTTATGTTGCGTGTACTTTAGCATGATTTTTTTTTTTTTAAGTGGGGTGGGGGAAGAAAAAAAAGTCTCTGATTATAGTAAAGAAAATAAAATCCCCTTAGAGAAAGTAAAAAAAAGTCTCCTATAGGGCGCCTGGGTGGCTCAGTCGGTTAAGCGGCTGCCTTCGGCTCAGGTCATGATCCTGGAGTCCAGGGATTGAGTCCCGCATCGGGCTCCCTGCTCAGCGGGGAGTCTGCTTCTCCCTCTGACTCTCCTCCCTCTCATGCTCTCTGTCTCTCATTCTCTCTCTCGCAAATAAATAAAATCTTAAAAAAAAAAAAAAAGTCTCCTATAACTAACCACTGTGATGAGTTGGTATATAACCTTCCAGACATTTTATCACGTATACCAATAATATATGCATATTGAATACAAGTGTTTTTACTATTATGAATCAGATCTTTTCTTCCCTGACATTTTCTAACAGGTTATTGTTGCTATTATAGAAAAGAACTACATAAGATTCTTAAAATATTTATCTTGAATGCAATCATCTTTCTGAACTCTTGTTAGTGCCAACAGTTTTTTTTTAAATTATTTCTCTTGGATCTTATAGGAAGACCTATCTATCTATAAATAATGACAATTTTGTCTCTAGCTTTCCAACATTTACACCCCCTTTTTCTGTCTTATTGTATTGGCTGGATCCTTCATAAAAATATCAATGGGGGCGCCTGGGTGACTCAGTCGGTTAAGCATCTGCCTTCGGCTCAGGTAATGATCTCAGGGTCCTGGGTTCGAGCCCCATATCAGGCTCCCTGCTCAGTAGGGAGTCTGCTTCGCCTGCCGCTCCCCCTGCTTGTGCTGTCAAATAAATAAGTAAAATCTTAAAAAAAAAAAAAAATCAATGGCAGGAGGCATCCTCAATCTTGTAACTTTTTTTTTTTTAAGATTTATTTATTTGAGAGAGAGACACACACACAGACAGAAAGAGGGAGTGGACAGAGGGAGATAATCTTCAAGCAGACTCCCTGTGGAGCAGGGAGCCTAACACTGGGCTCGATCTCTTGACCCATGAGATCATGACCCGAGTAGAGACCAACAGTCGGATGCTTAGCTGACTGAGCCACCCAGGCGACCCTTATAACAATTTTTAATGAGAATATTTTAGTATTTAGTGTTTTACCATTGTGCATACTGTTCCATTTGGTTTCTGGCAAATATTCTTTATTGTATTAAGAAGGCTCTGACAAATATTCTTTACTGTGTTAAGAAATTCTTATTTTTATCTAGAATGGACACTAAATTTTGTTGTCTAACAGAAATACAGTTTTTCTTATTTAACTTAATGAGTTACATTGATAGAATTCCTAATGTTGAGCCATCCTTGCATCCCAAGAATATAAGCCATGCTTGGTACACTAAGCAGGATACCAAAATCCTAACCATTTTCTTTACTTACACTGTCTTTTTAAGGTTTTGATATTAGGATTATTCCAGCCTTATAAAATAAGCTGGAAACGTCTCCTTTATTTCTATGCTTTGGAAGAGTTTAAATGATAATAGAACAATCTATTCCATGGAAGTTTGTTAAAACTTTTAAACCATCAGGCCTATTGGCTTTTTTGATGGATAGGGAGTGTACACTTTTTTGTAAGTCTTTTTCAATACATTTTCATGGTATTTGATCTATTTAAGTTTTCTTCTTTTTTTAGTATATTTTAATTTTGTTATTTTATTGCATTATGAAGTTGTTTGATTTTTCCGTTTCTCCCCGACTACAACCTCCTCTAAAGCAGGGGGTCATAACTAGCATAACACAGTAGGATATGTACACACATACACACATAATAGATCAGATGTTACAGATATATTAGATGTTCTAGATAGATATGTTTATCATGTATCAATCAATACAAGTGATATGTCTTTCATATATCAACATAAGTGATGAGACCAGTAGCATGGAACTCTTCCTCAATGGGCCAATTAGTGTCACGTTATCTCCCTTCCCTAAGCTAACTGTAAGCTCTAGTGAGTGTATTCTCAAACTTAACCCCAAAAGAGAAATGCATATGAACCTGAATGATTCAACCCCAAAGCATCTCCAAGGTGGCACCCAAGAAGAGTACATTATCATATCCCACTGGTGCAAATGTGAACTGTTACAGCCTTTGGGGAAAGGAATCTAGATCTATAAAATTAAAATATATAAAGCCTTTGACCTAGCAATTCCATGCCTCGAAATCTATCATAGAGAAATCAAAGCACAAATATATAAAGTTGTAAAGGGAGACATTGCAGTAGTGTTTATAAGGGGGAAAAAAAAACAACCCAGAATGAAGCAAATGTCTATCAAAGAAAGAATAATTGAATACATTACAGCAAATCCACACCATGGAATATTATGCAGCAAATAAAGAAAATGACTTAGCTTTATACTACTTGACTTAGAAGGATTTACATGATATAATATTAAATGAAAAAAGCAAGATGCAGAGAAGTACACCCATTTAAATATGGTGTGTGTGTGTGTGTGTGTGTGTGTATTTTCTGTAGTTTATATGAGCCTGGAAAAAGGTATGGAAGGATATACACCAGACTTTTCATGTTGGTTTCCTGGGAAGAGATAATAAAGAGAGGGAGTGACATTTCAGATTTTTGTAAAACTTTCTTCTCTGTACTATTGTATCAAATTTTAATTTTTTTTAAAGGAGAGTGCATTATGTACTCAAGAAAAACAAAACAAAACAGTTCTTTTCATTGTTTAAAAGAAAAAAACCCCAAACATCCACTTCTACCACAGAGGTCGGTGCACACCCTAATGACCATGTAAGAGCAAGTACCTCTCTGGACACAAGAAGGAAAGTGCGTCTTCAGTGGTGCTTTATTTCTTCCCATGTCTCACCTGGGCTGCAGTGGCTGCAGTTTGGAGCAGGCGGGTCTCTTCCCACAGGCACCGGGCCACGATTCGGGCAATCTCCATTGGCTTCTCCAGATATCTGCTCTGTAAGTTGGAGAGAGAGAATGAAAAGTAGCAGTAGACTAAGGAGACGTGGACCCAGAGTATTACATCTACTACATGAAACAATAAAACGAGGGCCTCAGAGCCTGGCTACCACCAGTGGGAGATGGAGGGGAGAACAGAAAAAAGACAGTCACATGAGCTGTACTTCTGTGACAGAAGGCAACGTTAGTCTGAGTCTTTGGACAGTATGTTATCCTTACATGGAGGTGACAGACCTTGTCCCAGAGTATCCAATTACGGTCAAACATTTAACATTCAAAAATAAGTCATCTGGGGCATCTGGGTGGCTCAGTCAGTTGGGCGTCTGACTCTTGATTTCTGCTCAGGTCATGATCTCAGGGTCGTGAGATCGAGTCCCAAGTCGGGCTCCGTGCTGGGTGTGGAGCCTGCTTAAGATTCTTTCTCTCTCCTTCTGCCCCTTCCACCCCCCTTCCTTTCTAAAAAAATAAAAATAAAAATAGCAAAATAAGTCATCTTCCTATGAAACCACTAGTTCTGATCATGTTATTAACATGCTAACGTAGTATGATTAATGTAACAATTATGTGATTACTCCAGTGGACAAAAGAAGTGGATTTCAGATAATGATGCTCAAGGATGGGTATACAGAGGTTTGAGGAAGGGCTAATAATTTCTCCTTTGATTTAAAGTACAAGATAGGATCTCATTACCTAGGCAAATGAGAAAAGAAATACTTCCTGGACAGAAAGCTAACACCCTACTCTGCAGGGGCAGTCTCTTCCCACCTGTAGGAACTGCTTGATTCTCCGCAGATTGTGCTGATAGAGAACATTTGACTCCTGTAGGAAACGGCTGTACTGCTGGTCAATCTCACCCAAGAGATTATGAAACACCAAAGTCGCATGTGATTCTTTGCTGGCCGCATATGCCCTAGGAAAAGGAAGAAGGATACAGAACGATTCTGAAACCTACATACATCCGCATATGCGCACACACACGAGTAGAAATCACCATCAAGGAGGGAAGAAAACAAGACAAACCTGATGCTTTAACCCACCCATCACTTTAGATTCACCTTCCTCAGCAATAAGAAATATCATGAATTCAATGATTATTAACAATTATTCCAGATACTATTAGCCACTGCCACAGTCTATACTTATAAAATATTCATGTGAAGCGGACAGACATGCTGTTTTGCTTTTAAAGTCTCAGTCAGTTCTGCAGTCAGATTATTAGTAGCAAATAAGCAAACCCAGGCTGGGATGGCCCATCTCCATCATCTCTGACTCACCTCCCTGGCCCCTTACCAACTTCTAGAAAAACTAGGTCATAGGCCTGCATTAAATGAAAATTAATAGGTGATCTGAACACATTAAAATGAAGGGGAAAAAGGGGCACTCTTGGTTTCGACTCTTGGTTTCGACTCAGGTCATGATCCCAGGGTTGTGAGATGGAGCCCATGTCAGTTCCAAACTGGGCGTGGAGCCTGCTTAAGATTCTCTCTCTCCCTCTCCCTCTGCCCGTTCCCTGCTCGCTCTCTCTAAGAAAGAAGGGGAAAAAGTGAAGGAAATGGTCCTTGGAATTCTGGGCCATTATCTCCTCTACGAACGAGTCTATTTCTCTTACTCTGCGTCTCCTTCCTTTAATTAAAGGGAAATCAGAATTATGGACCCAAATCTCTACCCATGAGAGAACTCTCATTAAGATAAAAAATATTTGTAGCACATCCCTGGAGTGTGAGAACACACAGAGGATCTCGCCAAGGAAATGAGATCCAAATCAGCCTTCAAAACATCTACCACCGGGGTGCCTGGGTGGCTCAGTCGTTAAGTGTCTGCCTTCGGCTCAGGTCATGATCCCGGGGTCCTGGGATCAATCCCCACATTGGGCTCCCTGCTTGGCGGGAAGCCTGCTTCTCCCTCTCCCATTCCCCCTGTTTGTGTTCCTGCTCTTGCTATTTCTGTCTCTGTCAAAACAAAAACAAATATCTACCGCCAAGCAGGCTGCTGTTCCAGGTGCCAAAAGACAGCTGCCCACACACACTTCTAATGTAGAAAGCGTTTTCATGAGACTGAGAGTACCTCTTTATCTCCTGATCTCTTTCACCCCATCACCTATACCCATAAGTTTTTTGATGAAATAGCATAGAGTTAAGCTAGAACAGGTTATGTCTCTTGACTTAAACCAAAACCTGACACTTTGGGGAGTTTCTCAGGAAGGACTCACCAGTCTTGACTCTCAATCCAAGGGGCCAGAAACTGCCGCAGCTCCATCGGGAAGCTGTCACTATACAGCTGATGAAGCTGCTCCAGGTACCGCGTGTCGAGCTGCTGTAGCTGATTCCATTGGGCCATCCTGTGGCAATCGGGGTCCCAACTGCAAACCAAAGAGTCCATATGGTCACTGTGAGCCTTAGTAGGAGGAAACAACCTACAAACACCCCATCTACCCAACACAGGCATCAGGTCTGTGATTAGGGATAAAAGATGCTTTGGACAGGATCCTGCGTGTTTCTCCCAGTTGACAACAATACAGACACATTCACAGTCTCTGCCTCTGGAAGCACATCCCAGCTTCTCCTACACTGGGATGCCAATGTGGGCGTGGCATCTGCCAAGTTCCAGGATCCATTATCTACCAGATGTATGTGAAGTTGAAAAATAACTTCCAGAGTTCCACTTCCTCATCTATAAAACAGAGATCATACCCACCCTCGTGGCTGTTGAGGTATTTCTAAAGAACTCAGCACAGTACATGGCATATAACAGATGCTCAACAAATGTCAGCTCCTTTCTTTCCACCCTACCCCCCTTCTAAGAGGGTGAACTGGAAGGTATAGATAACAAACCTAAAGTAAGACCAAAAGGTGGGATGTGACTGTTTAGGGAAGACAGAGCTAATTCTAAGAATACAGGTTTAAAAGTATAAGCAAGGACCTGCCTGGGATTCTCCCGCTCAATGAAAAGCAATTTTGTTTTTAAAAGTTCTCAGTTGGGGGCACCTGGGTGGCTCAGTCATTAAGCGTCTGCCTTCGGCTCAGGTCATGATCCCAGGGTCCTGGGATCGAGTCCCACATTGGGCTCCCTCCTCGGCGGGAAGCCTGCTCTCCCTCTCCCACTCCCACTGCTTGTGTTCCTGCTCTCGCTATCTCTGTCTCTGTTAAATAAATAAATAAAATCTTTAAAATAAATAAATAAAAGTTCTCAGTTGGGGGGGTGCCTGGGTGGCTCAGTCATTAAGCGTCTGCCTTCGGCTCAGGTCATGGTCCCAGGCTCTTGGGATTGAGCCCCACATTGGGCTCCCTGCTCAGCGGGAAGCCTGCTTCTCCCTCTCCCACTCCCCCTGCTTGTGTTCCCTCTCTCACTGTCTCTCTCTGTCAAATAAATAAATAGATAAATCTATCTTTAAAAGTTCTCAGTTGGGGGGCGCCTGGGTGGCTCAGTTGGTTAAGCGACTGCCTTCGGCTCAGGTCATGATCCTGGAGTCCCTGGATCGAGTCCCGCATCGGGCTCGCTGCTCGGCAGGGAGCCTGCTTCTCCCTCTGACCCTCCCCCCTCTCATGTGCTCTCTCTCTCTCATTCTCTCTGTCTCAAATAAATAAATAAAATCTTTAAAAAAAAAAAAGTTCTCAGTTGGGGATGAGAAAGAAGAGAAGCTAAATACCAGTCATACGAGTTGTCCTGAAGCTCACAAATACCCCAGAGAAATGCTGGTTTCTCTGATCATCTTTCCTCTTCTTTCTGAATAGCTTGGTCACAGAAATACCAATACAGACCAAGCAATCGGAAGAAGTTGTCAAAATAACTAAGAGTAATAGCCAAAGACTAATATATGTACAGATCAAAGTATCCAGAGATGATTCTCTGGGATTGTGAGAACACTGAATGAAAGACTGAATGCACACAAACACGTACACTTACCTAAAGTTCTTGATCTATTTCTCAGAGAAGGTGTGAAGAAGCACCCTCATAACTGCTCCTTTCATAAAAAGTATGGAGCAAACTGGTGACAAAACCAGCAGGTCTTCTGTTCTCAAAGCGGCAAGTGTAATGGTAGCTAAGTGGTTCAGGATCAGGTTTTCGTACAGAACCCTGTGCTGTAGTTCTCCCTCATCTTCCGCGGGGACACACACGAAGACCCCGCCTGTCACTGCAAAGGTGCCATCACCTGGCCGAGCTCTCACGCACACGTTCAGGAAGGCACAGGCAGTACCTTCCCAGTGGTCTTTTACACCGAATAATGAACAACCTAAGGCAGCAACTATCCAACAGAGATGTAATGCAAGCCACGTACAGAATCTTAAATTTTCAAGTAGCCATATTAAAAAACTAAAAGGAGGGGCGCCTGGGTGGCTCAGTCGTTAAGCGTCTGCCTTCGGCTCAGGTCGTGATCCCAGGGTCCTGGGATCGAGCCCCGCATCGGGCTCCCTGCTCGGCGGGAAGCCTGCTTCTCCCTTTCACACTCCCCTTGCTTGTGTTCCCTCTCTCGCTGCCTCTCTCTCTGTCAAATAAATAAATAAAATCTTAAAAAAAAAAAACAAAAAACTAAAAGGAAACAAGCAAATTAATTTTAATGATATATTTTACCTAACCTAATATATCTAAAAATGGGGCACCTGGCTGGCTCAGTCAGTAGAGCATGCAATTCTTGATCTCGGGTTCACGAGTTCAAGCCCCACATGGGGCATGGAGCTTACTTTAAAAAATAATAATAAAATAAAGCTTAAAATACTTAAATATAATGTTATTTCCTCAACATGTAATTGCACAAAAATTAATGAGATACTTTACATTCTTCTTTTGGTACTAAGTTCTCTAAATCCAGTGTGCACTTTTACACTTACAACACGGATCTGAGGTATTTCCCTCCTCATGGGCTTAAATTGCACTGGTGAAAAAGTTCAGTAAAGTTGGGTGCCTGGGTGGCTCAGCTGGTTAAGCATCTGCCTTCGGCTCAGGTCATGATGTGGGGGTCCTGGGATCGAGCCCTACATCGGGCTCCCTGCTCTGAGGGGAGTCTGCTTCTCCCTCTGCCCCTCTCCCTACTCGTGCACTCTCTCTCTCTCTCAAATAAATAAATAAAATCTTTTTTAAAAGTCCAATAAAGCAAAGAAATGAGAATGTCAGAATGAGGTATTTGCCCCCCTCAGACCAATATGTTTCCATAAATAAACTAAACCTTCCAACATTAGAGGTGGTGCTTGGGATTTTTTTTTTAAAACGTCTTCCTTCCTCTTAGGCACCTCCCAAACATTTTCAGCTACCACACCTTTGCTGTTGCCCCTGTCCTCACTACCCCCAAGACCAACCTGCCCCAGGACAGATGCTGCTTGGGCAGTGAGTGGTACATGTATACTAAACACTGGCTGGAATGAAAGTGGCAGCTGAGGCATTATAACCATGGTGTGTATTACTTCAATAAGAAATCAAAGGCTGGGACGCCTGGGTGGCTCAGTTGGTTGAGAGTCTGCCTTCAGCTTGGGTCATGATCCCAGGATCCTGGGATTGAGTACTACATCGGGCTCCTTGCTCAGCCGGGAGCCTGCTTCTCCCTCTCCCTCTGCCTGCCGCCCCCCACCCCCGTTTGTGCTCTCCTCTCTCTCTCTGACAAATAAATAAATAAAATCTTAAAAAAAAAATCAAAGGCCGGGATGCCTGGGTGGCTCAGTCGTTAAGCGTCTGCCTTCGGCTCAGGTCGTGAATCCAGGGTCCTGGGATCGAGCCCCGCATCAGGCTCTCTGCTCAGCAGGAAGCCTGCTCCTCCCTCTCCCACTCCCCCTGCTTGTGTTCCCTCTCTCGCTGTGTCTCTCTCTGTCAAATAAATAAATAAAATCTTTATTTTTTTATTTTTATTTTTTTTTTTTTTAAGATTTTATTTATTTATTTGACACACAGAGAGAAAGCACAAGTAGGCAGAGAGGGAGGCAGAGAGAGAGGCAGAAGCAGGCTCTCCACCGAGCAGGGAGCCCAATGCGGGACTCGATCCCGGGACTCCAGGATCATGACCTGAGCCGAAGGCAGTCGCTTAACCCACTGAGCCACCCAGGCGCCCCTAAATAAAATCTTTAAAAAAAAAAAAAAATCAAAGGCCACTAGAACTCTCTTACAGTATGCACATTAAGGCCAAGTTAAAATCCGCCTCAAGGCTAGAAGTATGAAGATCCACCTTACGTTTCTCAAGATGTGATCTACATAGAAATCTATGTAACATGTCAACGTATTTAGATGCTACTGCATACAAATGTGCCCAAACTTTAGACCTACATAATTCAACATGGTAATCACTAGCCATATGTGAATACTGAGCACTTGAAATATGGCTGGTTCAAACTGAGACATGCTGTAAGTGTAAAGTATACACTGGATTTTGAAGACTTAGCACACACAAAAAAAGAATGTAAAATATCTCATTAACATTGAAACGATAGTATCTTAGATATATTGAGTTAAATAAAATATATTATTCAAATTAATTTCACTCAATTCTTTTTACTTCTAATGTGGCTACTAGAAAATTTAACATTACGTATGTGACTTGCTTTCTGTTTTTATTGGACACTGCCTCTCTTATGTAACCAAAAGCTATGATTCTCCTAATAAAGGATTTAAAGAAAGAGATACCTACTTTTTTTTTTTTTAAGTACACTCTCTACCTGCAACGTGGGGCTCAAACTCACAACCCCAAGATCAAGAGTCACGTGGTCCACCAACAGCCGGCTAGGCACCCCTAGACAACCTACTTTTTATAATAAAGTCCAGTGTTATAAATTAATAAAAAAAAGACTAATGACTTAATTGCTTATCTTGGATACAAATGTAGAACCATCACAATCTATTCCCTGAAGTTCCATGTTAGAACCATAAAGCAACATCCCACTACACCTGTTCAACTAGAGATGAACATCGGGGTCACACACGAATATAAGTATTTTCAAACCAATAAAGAATTGCAAGTTGTTGAAAATTGTCTAATTCATTTCTAGTCCATAACTCAGAGGGGTTTTTTGTTGTTGTCGTTTTGGTTTTAGTGGGGGGCGGGGGGACACAACACAAAGGGGATAGTAAGTAGTATAATTTTGTCATTTCTTTTTTTTTTTAAGATTTTATTTATTTATTTGACAGAAAGAGACACAGCGAGAGAGGGAACACAAGTGGGGGAGTGGGAGAGGGAGAAGCAGGCTTCCCACGGAGCAGGGAGCCCGATGCAGGACTCGATCCCAGGACCCTGAGATCATGACCTGAGCCGAAGGCAGCGGCTTAACGACTGAGCCACCCAGGTGCCCCAATTTTGTCATTTCTTAAACCAGAAACCAGTTACTAGTTTTTTCTGTAAAATTAAAGCACAAAAACGACTGGCATTATGCTCTACTTCTTAGT